AAAAAAAAAAATCAGAATATCATTATTATTGGAAATAGGTTACATTCGACTATTATGTAGTTGTTTTCAGAGTTGTAAATAACTTTTTAATGAAAATTTTGTACCTAATCTGCTAAGGAAAGGAGTTTATTTGTGGTTTACTAGCTAGATTAAGATGGATACTTCTCCTGCAATACAAGTTTGTTCAATGTGCCTTTTTCTTTCTTTTTTTGTCCCACAAGTCAGCAAAATTAAAAATAGTAGCCCTTTTACTACTACCTCTAATAAAAGCTGATTCGTATGCATTGTATGTATTGGATCCTCTCTGTCCGAAGCTGAAGCTGGGCAGAGGGGGCCCTGACTCACCGTACCTGGCCATCGGGTTGTAGGCCTGTGCCAGGGCCCAGCAGGAGCGCAGGGAGGGTGACGAGGAGTCTTTCAGTAGCTCCAGGCTCAGCCGTCTCAGCCACTCCAGCCAGTCATCTTTGGAGACCCTCCTGGCTGCTCCCCAAGCCTGTAATCCCACAGGCACAATGAAAAACCGTCAGCTTCAAGGGCCAATTGCTCTAAGAGCCCTCATCTATTTAATGATTATTCTACTTCTTTGATTAATAAAATGATACCTCTCATGATAAAATTCCTCCAGAGCACAAATACAAAAGAGATATTTAATTAACAGCCATAAAGCAAGAGCAGCAACCTCTGGAACTTACAACAATATAGAAAAATCCTGTTTTACAACTCATTTTTGCTGGACTCCATCAGCAAAGAAGAGAGCTCTACAGAACCAGAATGGATGGGGACTGTCACACTCGGGGTGCATTCAACAAAGCCTAATGGCTTTAGCAGTGCGTGAAGGGAGCTGGCTACTCTCTGCATGAGGACACCAGTTCATCTGACAGTGAGGAGTCACACAGGAAGAGGAAAAATGCTCAGGTTCATACCGGCAGGAATTGTGTTACAACCAGGTGAGCAGTGAGCCCGAAGCACAAGGCACTGTGTTGGAACAAGGATTTGAACAGATTTAATTTCTACTCTCTAGTTTATCCCCTCCAACCTTCCTCAGAACTCCAGCATCTCTAGGCATCGAGAGTTATTACCAGCGGCAGCTTAGGCAGGTGGATGGAGACTGGGGTTCTGGGGAGGGGTAGTACAGCGCAGTGGCCAACAGCCACACTCTGGACTTGATGGCTTGAGCTGAAATCCCAGTTATGAAACTTACTGGCTCTCTGGACTTTGAAAAGTTACTTAACTCCTCTGTGCCTCAATTTCCTCATGTGTAAAATGAGGATAATAGTTTCTACTCATAGGATAGTTTAAGGAGTAACTAAATTAATAAATGTAATGAATTTCTTAACAGTGTTTGGCACAAAGTTAGTGCTATGTGTGTGCATGTCTATTTCTCCAAAGTTAGAAACACCTGGCTCTGCCACTCGGCAGCTGTAACACCCTGGGCAAACTATGTGTATGCTGTATATGAGCTTCAGACTTCCACATCTAGGGACAACATATCTAAAGGGACTACCTGGAATAAAGCAAAGTGAGCAAAAAGTGGTTACTATTATTATCAAAATGATAACCTATTTGAACTGGCCTAGCCCTAACTACTAAATCTCTAACTTTTAAAATATGTTCTTAACGGCCAGGCGTGGTGGCTCATGCCTACAAATCCTAGCACTCTGGGAGGCCAAGGTGGGAGGGCTGCTTGAGCTCAGGAGTTCGAGACCAGTCTGAGCAATAGTGAGACCCTGTCTCTACGAAAAATAAAAAAAAAACAAGTGAAAAAAATACGTTCTTAAAATATTTTTCCAGAACAGGCATGTCAATCCTCCCTAAACTGGGGAAATCATGTAAGTTTGAGCAGAAGTTCTCACACTTTGAACTAGGGAAGTGGTCCAGGGAGTGAAGAGACCCCCATGTGCTACACCACTGATACAGTTGCATATTTGGCCCCTCCAAATCTCATGTTGAAATTTGATTCCCCAGTGTTGCAGGTGGGGCCCGGTGGGAGGTGTCTGGGTCATGGGGGCAGATCCCTCATGAATGGCTTTGTGCCCTCCTGGCAATAATGAGTGAGTTCTCACTTTATGAGTTCATGTGAAAGCTGGTTGTTTAAGGGAGCCTGGCACCTCCTCCTTCCTCTCTTGCTGCTTCTTGCAATGTGACAGCCCGCTCCACCTTCACCTTCCACCTTGATCGGAAGTATCCTGAAGCCCTCACCAGAAGCAGATGATGGCATCATGCTTCTTGAAGAGTCGGCAGAACTTTGAGCCAAATAAACTTCCTTTCTTTACAAATTACCCAGCCTCAGCTATTTCCTTTATATCACGCAGAACAGACTAACACAACCACCTTACCATCAACAACTTAACCATCACCTCCCTGGGATAAACTGGAGATTTGCTGCTGCTTCTGAAGAGCTACCAATGAGCGACATTATATAAACAATTATTATTTTATGTTAAAAACTGGAGTACAGATGTTACAAGACCTAAACTAAATAATTACTACTGACCATACAATGAGAATGAGAAGGAAGAGTTAGATGACATACCAATGACTCAACTTTTAGACCTTGTTCTGTTGGGTGAAATGGGAACATCGAGTCCCTTTCTGCCTATATATTTCTAGCTTCTTACCTACACATTGGATCTGTGTGTAGCTGCATATTATTACAAAGCACTTTAAAAGTTGAATATAGGGTGGGCACAGTGGCTCACGTCTGTAATCCTAGCACTCTGGGAGGCTGAGGCAGGAGGATCGCTTTAGGTCAGGAGTTCGAGACCAGCCTGAGCAAGAGGAGACCCTATCTCTACTAAAAATAGAAAAAATTAGCTGGATGTGGTGGTGCATGCCTGTAGTCCCAGCTACTCAGGAGGCTTAGGCAAGAGGATTGCTTGAGCCCAGGAGTTTGAGGTTGCTGTGAGCTAGGCTGATACCACGGCACTCTAGCCCAAGCAACAGAGGGAGACTCTGTCTCCAAAAAAAAAAAAAAGTTGAATATAAACAAGAAAGTACTACTAATTTCTTTCTCCTTCTAACAATGTGAGGTTGGTTGGGCCTGGGAAAGGAAGAGACAATTCAACACAGTGATTAAAGGAAAGGAGTAGGCTCTAGAGTCACGCTAGGTCAAATCCTGGCTCCCACACTGACTAGCTGACACTGGGCAAATTATTTAAACTTTTAGTTACTCAAGGTCCACATCTATAAAATGGGGACAGCAATGACAGCACCTAACTCATGGGGTTATCATGACGATTAAATGAGTTAATACACATGAAGTGCTCTACAACAGTGCCTGACATGTGGTAAGCACATAAAAAATGTTAGTTTTTTTTGCTATCATTGTTGTTACTATTTGATAAATGGCAGTAAATAGGTCTTCAAAAAATTATAGCTTAATCTATCAAATAGGCCAAGTCCCCATGTGGACCTTTTCCCCTGGCTCTTTAAAACATAATCATTTCCTCATCTGTAAAATGGGAATAAATAAAAAGAAAAAAATCAACTCTCAGTTCTCTGGGTTCTATGATAACTGTGTACACAATGGCCAATCTCCTGCTATCTACCTACATCTGCTGATGTTGGTATACATTGAAAGAATGCCAGCCTATTCACTGTGAAGCCCAAATAGATTGTCATAAGACAGTAAAGCTGCTGAAAACTCTAGAAGGCATTCTAGAGGTATAAAAAATGGTTTTTATCTGTATCATGTAAATCCTCTATTGGCATAGCCAATAAAATGGTGACTGAGATGGCAAATTGGTGTTTTGAAAGCTGGTTAAAACTGATAAATACACCAATCCCTAATCATCATTACATGATTATGTGGAAGCACAATTTACTTTTTTTTTTTTTTTTTTTTTTGAGACAGAGTCTCGCTTTGTTGCCTTGGCTAGAGTGAGTGCCGTGGCGTCATCCTAGCTCACAGCAACCTCAAACTCCTGGGCTCAAGCAATCCTTCTGCCTCAGCCTCCCGAGTAGCTGGGACTATAGGCATGCACCACCATGCTCGGCTAATTTTTTCTATATATTTTTAGTTGTTCAATTAATTTCTTTCTATTTTTAGTAGAGATGGGGGGTCTCGCTCTTGCTGAGGCTGGTCTCGAACTCCTGAGCTCAAACAATCCGCCCGCCTCGGCCTCCCAGAGTGCTAGGATTACAGGCATGAGCCACCGCGCCCGGCCACAATTTACTTTTTGATGAAATGGATCTGAGAGTCAGCTGTGGAGGATTTTGTTTAGGGTTTTTGAACTTGATCTATTCTCTCAGGTGAGATAAACTAGAGAGTCTTTCTTTCATCTGTGTGGCAAGGTTTATGCTTATTTTTTCCAAGTCCTGGGTAGAAAGCAAAACCTCCTGGAAGCAAACTAGACTACTGGGGAATTTCCTAAAATAGACGGAACAAAGCTCTAAAGCAGAGTGGACAGCTGCCTGCTTGGAAGGACATTCTGAACTTAGGCTGAAAACATCAGGGTGGAAATGTGCATCTGGCCTCCTTGCCGGGCCCCTCCCTCAAGTGTGAGGAGTCAGCAGGGTGGCCTCCATGACTGCCTGGGAACACCAGGTGACTGATGGCCTTTTCCTTCCTCCTAAAGTCTCAGACTAGCAGTTACAAAATCCCCAGAGGGAAAGAAGCATCCCTCCTGACCCAGGAATATTTCGCTAGCTCCATCTTAAATCAGCAAATATTTCTCAGCAGTGGTCACTTGCTAGCTGTGGGGGTAAAGACCCTGACACAATAGTTAGTAATAAAGCCCCAGCATTCTGAAGCTGGGTGTGAGCACACACACAGAGGACTGTGTTCACATCTTCATGGGCTTGGCCAAAAGAAGAGAACAAGTCAACTGGAACACAGTCCTGCCCAGTTCTTTACCTCTATCTGCTGTTACACATGGAGCGTAGCTGCTGTGGGTCAGCTGCTAATACATGAAGAACAACACCATGTTGAAATCCAAACTGGGAGCTGCTTATTGCCACCAGAAGCATTAAAGACTAATGGAAAGTTTGCAAAACAGGAGACCTGGTACATTTATTTAAAAGTTAGTAAAGTAACTATGATTATTCTGTTTAGATTCACTAGAGAGGCTTTCAAACTACCTGTTTTTAGGTTGCTGGCTGGTGGGATATCTGATGAAAAGCTGGTCACAGCCCAGGCTTTGGTCAGCAGAGACAATTCAGTAATTACTTGTAAGGATCTAAAACTTCAATACCCAAAGTGTGGTCCACAGACCAGCAGCACTGCATTAACTGGGAGCTTGTCAGAAACAAAATATCAGCCCTGCCCTCAGACTGCCTGCATCAGAAGTCTTCAGCAACTGGTAAGCCCAATGAGTTTGAGAAGTTTGAAAAACACCATTTTAAAGAGCCTGCATCAGTCTCAGTGCTAACTAAAGAGCTCACCAGCTTTGCTCCATTCATGTAAAAAATGAGAATGTTATTTGCAACAAAAGGTTCTACTATCAAAGTTATAAGGGAGCACAAAAGGACAGTTTGTTCTCTATTTTTTCTCTAATTAAAAAAAATTACCACTCAGACAAAGGACCTGTGTTCATGGTATCTAGATTTCCAGAAAAATACTTGGGCTGGAATTTCATTGGTTTAAACTGAAGGTAGCAATGGCTGAAAGTTTTGAACAGGAAAGAACAGCAGAGCTCTTCTTCCCCAGTTCCCCAGAAACAATGGACTTGCTTTTTGGAGGTTGATGGTGCTGACGTGCAGTTTCTTCATGGGTCCCGTTTCTACTGGTCCACTAGCCAACGCATCCCCTTGGCCACTCCTAAGCATCCGATGCTGGTAAATCAAAGGGTCCTCCTCTTCATCAGCAAGGGTGTATCCCTGCAACCAGACATGTATAGAAAACACCTGCAACTCCACTAGATGCTCCCAGTTTAGAAAATATCCTCAAACCTGAGGAGACTCAGACCTCCTAGAAGAGCCAAGATTTCAACAAGAAGTAAAAAGTTGCATGTATGGACAAAATGAACCATAGGTGGGATGAATCCCCCACCAGGGATCAGTCTTTGCTGGTCACTCCTGGTCACTATCAAGCACTGACTGTAGTGCGAGCATGCAACCACACAACTGGCAAAGATCAAACAACCATGAGCAATGATAAAAGCGATGAAGTGTTCAGAGTAAAGGCAACAAACAGCCCCCTCTGCCTGTTTCTGTATGGCCCAAAGGCCAAGAATGGTTTTTACACCATTAAATGGTTGGGAAAAAAAAATCAAAAGAAGATTAATATCTTGCAACGCATGAAGATTATAAGAGAATCAACTTTTGGCGTCCACAGTGTTACTGGAATGCAGCCGGGCTCACCATTCGCACACTGCCTATGGCTGCTCTCCGGCCAAGCAGTTGCAACAGACACCACTTAGCCTACAAAGCTGAAAAATTTACCATCTTTACAGAAAAAGTTTGCCAATCCCTGTTTAGAGCTAAAAAGCTAGATATTCCCATAGCTAAGATTACAAGAATACCAAATAGTAAAGACAACGGGGGACTTCAAAACAGAAAGGAAGTGTAGTTCACCTTGACAATTCTGCAGATGAGCACGTCATAGCGCTGATGGTTGATTCGGTGTCGCACCAGAACTTTATTCACCATCGGAATGAAAATTTGGTACTATAAGAGGAGGTGGAAGAGATCAGAAACCATTACTTTGGAGAGTAGAAAAAAGGACAGGAAACCCCAACTGTGTTATAGCCATTTCTTCTGGGTTTGTGGCTGGCTCTGCAGTATTCAGAAGAATCCCTCTCTACGACTCACTGCGATAACCCTAGTCCGAGTCCCATCATCTTCCACCTGCCTTACTGTGATGGCCTCTTCACAGTCTCTGCCCCCACCCTTGCCCCCACAGCCTATGTTTTCACACAGCATTGACAGTCGCCATTTTAAAATATTATGTCACATCATATTTTTCCTGTGTTCAAAATCCTGCAAAGACTTCCAGTCTTGCTCAGAGTAAAAGCCAAAGTACTTGCAATCACCCACAACAGTGATCTGCAAGTTCTAGTGGGCATCAGAATCACCTGGAGAGCTTGTTATTCAAAAGGTGGGGCGGCCTCCAAGAATGTGCATTCTTAGCAGGTTTCCAGGTACACGGATACTGATACTGCCTGCCCAGGGATCATGTCTGAGAAACAGTGACCTACAAGATCTAGTCTCTACCCTTGTCCCACCTTATCTCCATGACCTTAACTCCAAACACCTCCCCTTGCCCACTCCTCTGACGTCACACTGTTCTCTTGCTGTGCCTTGAACTCTTCAAGCAAGCTGCCATCTAAACCTTTGCAGATGCTATTTCTTCTGCCTTTATCCAAATCTCTGGGATTGGGCCTTTATTTTATTCAGGTCTCTGCTCAAATGTCAATTGATCAGAGAAGTTTTCCCTGTCTACCTTAAATAAACAGCATTTCTCTCCTCTGGTGGGTTTAAAAAGTAAAGATAACAATAAAAAGAAAAAAAAGAAAAAAATTCTTAAAAAATAAATAAATAACATAAACAGCATTTCTCCCCACTTCCAGCCATTGTTCTTATGAGACAACTGTGTTTATTTGCTTTGCTTCATTGGAATGGAAGCTCCATGAGAGCAAGGACTTTATTCTGGTCGTTACGTTATCCCCAGAATAGCCCTCAGCCCACACAGATGGTTGGCAAATAATTCCATGTTCTCTGATGGTAGCTGAGACCTTAGATTAGACTAACACATGGAGTAGCTCACAGACAAAGCTCTCTTCCCAAATAAGGCAGAAGGGTACCTGTTTGTTCAGGGCTCCTGTCTTACCTTCTTCCCCAGCTGAAAGACAAGTGAAGACAATGTGTCCATGGCCGTGGAACGCAGTTCTGGGCTCTGATCCAGTGTTCGAACAATAGGGTGAATGATGCGGGAGGCGTAGTCAGTGAAGTCCAGGGACTCCGTCAGGCGGTCCACTGTCTCTAATGCTGCCCTACAACAATCACCAGCATGTAGTAACGGCTAACACACAATCTCGGAGTAAGAGAAGGAATGGGAATGAATGGCTTCTGAGGTATTCTGGGTGACACAGAGCCAACATATAATCCAGTGGGATGGGGACAGTTAAGGAAGGTTTCCATAAACCTAGGGCATTTCTGGACTAAAATAATAGGAGTTGAAATAACAAAAAAACAGAAAGATGGCCTGGGAACTTAAGAAAAATATATTTTCTATAAAACATTAAAAGCTTAATGACTGTTAGTCCCAAGGGGCAGGTGCTTACTTTCGAGAAGGCAGTGGAACTTCAGGGGCATCAAACAACTTCACAATAGGAGGCAACAACAAATGCAAATAGTCATCCAGGTTGGCACCAAACAGCTGGATTGCAGCCAACAACTGCAAAAGGGAATAAGAGCATGGCAATGAACAAATACAGTCAGGTTTCAAGGATCTAAGGACGTGGAGAGCGGTGGTGGTTTGGATAATTCAAAGTTCTGTGGAGACTCTGAGAAGCCTTTATTAAGTGGCCTTGAATTATATTCTTTCGGTCGTACTTTTTTCACCCTCATTTTATTTGCTTATGCATTACTTTGCTTTCTCTGTGCTTATTTCAATTGATAAGGAATCAGTTGCTGGATAATAGAAAAAATTGGTCTGGGATAAAACACTGACCAAGATTAATCCATTAAAGGAGCTATGAAATATAAGGATAATCAAGATAGGATTATAAACATTCTGTACGCTGCAAATTGCACACATCAGGTATTGGTATTCTTAGGATTCGGTCCTGTGGAGTGGGCCTCAACCTGTTACTCAGAACAGGGCTCTGTGGGAAGCTGAAAATCCTTCCAGAGGATACCCTGAGTGACTCACCTTGATGGAGACGATGCGGCCTGGGCTGTTGTCATGCATGAAGACGCGCAGCATATGTGGGATCAGCTGGGGCAGGTAGAGTTTAAATTCACCCCCAAGAGCTACCACAATTTGCTCGATGAGGAGAATGATCGTGCTCTGGATTGAGGTGTTCATGACCCAGAATTCCTACAAAGAGGGAGGAGGCAGAGAAGCACAGTCAGGTACCCTTCTGCTGAAATGTGAATCAAGGAACTTAGACGGCCAGAAAGAAGCAAAAGTGTAGCGAGCATGGTCTGCCCCAAGATGAACTCCACCCCATCCTCCTCTCTCCAGGCCCTTCTTGTATCCTACCCCACGTCACGGCCATACTGAACAAATTCAGCTGCATCTCCCCCGAGGCACCAGGCTACCTTACTCCTCTGTGCTTTGCTCGTGCAGCTTCCTTTGCCTACGATCCACCCCCTCCTTTTGTTTTACTGTACCACTTCAGGAAATGAATATTTTTGTATGTATGTATGTATGTACGTATTTATTTTAAGAGATGGAGCCTTGCTATGTTGCCCAGGCTGAACTTGAACTCTTGAGCTCAAGCAATCCTCTTGCCTCAGTCTCCCAGGTAGCTAGGACCATTGGTGTGAGCCACCACACCTGGCTTTCCATTTCTTGCTCAGCTAAGCCCTTTCTGTCGTTCTAGACCTGGTTGAGCCTCACTTCTCCTGTACAGGCTTTCCTGTTGTCCTTCCATGATCCACTTTGGGTGCCCTTATACTTCTCTTTCCTAGTACCTATAATATTTACTTTGCTTTGCCATCCTCCCTCTACTAGACTATAGGCTATTTAAGGGCAAGAAATCTCTGATTCACCTCTGTATCCCTAGAATCTATCAGAGCATTTGGAATATTCTAGCCATTCAAACACAAGCTTACAGAATGAACAGATGACTAAATCTAAGTCACTCTAAGAGCTCTGAAGTGGTCTAGGACGAATACTTTGGTACCACCCGATCTCTACCAGAGGGCAACTCCAGTGCTGTCTAGATTTCCTGCCATTCTCCTGGATAGAGCTGGAACGCATTCTACTAAGTGAAGTATCCCAAGAATGGAAAAACAAGCACCACAGGTACTCACCATCAAATTGGTATTAACTGATTAACACATAAGTGCACATATAAGAATAACACCTATTGGATGTTTGGTGGGAGGGGGGAGGAGGGGATGGGTATATGCATACACAAAGAGTGCACACCATCCGAGGGATGGACGCACTTGGAACTCGGACTTGGGGGTGGGGGGGCAAGGGCAACATATGTAACCTAAACATCTGTACCCCCATAATATCCTGAAATAAAAATAAAATAAAATAAAATAAAATAAATTTCTAACATTGAAAGTCCTTTAAAAAAAAAAAAAAGATTTCCTGCCTTTTCTGGGTTTAGACTTTATCAGATAGCATCTGACATTTATCCCCCCAAAAATCTACCCATCAGTCCCGGACAGTGCCACAAAATGAGCGCTTTTCTACACCCACATAATTGTATTCCACATAAGTTACTAAAATAAAAACTTGGTAATTGGCTACATGTCCTGTCTTGGAACTATAAGGCAAACTACTAATCCATGCTTCTAACTCCAGAAAAGCTGTAATTTCAAATCAATTCAAAAAGATAGTTGCCTACCACCTTTCTTAAAACTTCCAGAGTAGGAGATTTTAATGATAATAGAAACCCTACTAATGATGGCAATCCATGAATATTAATAATACCCTCGGGGCCCCTAAACCATCCAAAGTATAAGTCAATAAAAATAAAGATAATTCCTCAGATGAAAGGCTTTTTAGAAAGATAAAGTTTGTTTATTTAAAAAATTATTTCAAAAAGCGTAACAGTTTAGAAAGTAAAAACCATATTATTAATAGAAGATGCTGGTAAAACTTACTTTTTCTCTATTTGGAGAGAAGTATTCTCTCTGAAAAAGCTACGTTCTCTAGATAAAAAGCTTTGCCAAAGAAACATTGCAGATTTTATGGTCTCCACAGTTTGTCTGATGTTCATTCACTTGGATCACACTCTGGCTTCTTTAGAGAAAGCCTGCCCACCCCGCAACTTACTATCATCAGCTCCTCACATGGGTGCTCTACCTCAAAGAAGCCAGGCAGTCTGCTGAGGGATGCTGGTTGGATGTATCACTGTTCAGACTATTTTCATCCTGGGCTCCGGGGAGCTAATTAAAATACCCAGCACCAGCAGCCAAAGGGAGGCCCCCTGCACCTTCTCTACCTGGGACGAACGAAAGCTGAATTTCACAGGTGTGAGGCTCCCTGCCTCAAATCCCTGGTGTTTTGCTCATAACCCTGAGATGACTATAACATGGTCATATCATATGCCTGTGTTTGGTCTTTTTTGGGGGAATAACAGGTTACTTCGGCTCCCAAACACAAGTATGCTGCTTCCCCCTCCCTCTCTCCCCAAGATCAGCCACTGGGCTCTTTAGTATTCTGTTGAAATCTTCCTTGTACAGAGGCCTCTGTGGCAGGAGTTAGGGAACAGAGCAGTTTTTAAGTATTTATACATGTCAGAGTTTCTCAGCTCAGAGACCCAGGTGCTAGGAAGTTCCAGTTTTGAAGCCAGCCATTTGGATTTTAGCTCTGCTGCTTCCTCCATGCTAACTATAAAGGTCTGGTGTGAAAGAAGAGAAATCATCCTCCAACTCTTTAAAAACATGCCATTTCTGGCTGGGCACGGTGGCTCACGCCTGTAATCCTAGCACCCTGGGAGGCCGAGGCAGGTGGATCGTTTGAACTCAGGAGTTCAAGACCAGCCTGAGCAAAAGCGAGACCCTGTCTCTACTAAAAACAGAAAGAAATTAGCTGGACAATTAAAATATATATATAAAAAAAAATTTAGCCGGGCATGGTGGTGCGTGCCTGTAGTCCCAGCTACTCGGGAGGCTGATGCAGGAGGATCACTCGAGCCCAGGAGTTTGAGGTTGCTGTGAGCTAGGCTGACCCCACGGCACTCTAGCCCGGGCAACAGAGTGAGACTCTGTCTCAAAAAAAAAAAAAAAAAAAATCATTTCTACAAAGCAACTTTCCCAACAGAAACATTTAAATTACACAGAACAGAAGGAAAAATGATATTGCTATCAACGGGATGTCTTCCAGCACCTGCTAATGCATATTATAAAATCCTGAGACCTGAGCCTTTTCTCGTGTGCCACTATAGTCAGAAGGCAACATTTATGCTTTCGGAGGTAGCAGGTTAAAGCATCACCTTGTTCCTCAGAGCCTGACAGGAGTCCGTCGTATTTAACAGCCCCAGGAAAACCCAATCTCCAATCCCCTCTTCAGGCTATGGTTTTATGAGCAATAAGGAAGAGGGCTTTCATGGGAACAGAAAAGCACTGTTGTGATATTAAAGTGAAATTGCTTTGTTCTGTGTGAGGCAAGTAACTCAACAGTCTATTTCTGGCAGACAATTATTCAGGATTCCTCTTCAGGCTTCATACCTTGTACTTCTGTACCTGGGAGCCTGGAGCGACAGCCTCTCCTCTCCCTCAGAATCCGGAGGCCTATCTTGCTCTACTTTCTACACTCGGGTTGTAACAGCTCTACAATGACCCATGAAAAAGATGTCCATGTTATCCAAACTTGCTTCTGAGCTTTCCTTGACCCAAACATAGATGAACAGACCAAAGCATTAACTTCTACTCACTCTCATGAGGGTGACTATTTCATCCATATAAGGTCTGATGTGGCTCTTCACAAAGGACACCAGCATTCCCAGCTGCTGGAACAGAAACTGAAATGGACAAGAGGTCAACAAGCTGGCATCATGAAGGACACAGAACTCCCAGGATTACCAAAGTCCACGTGAACAAACACAGAACACTACAGAATTGGTTTCCACACTACCCCAACTACTGAGAACATGTTTCAAAGACTCAGACTTAAAGCCTGTGGTGATGATCGGCAGTGGGGGCTAAAAACCACTCTCTGGGGCTTTACATACCAGGTGAGCCAGTTACCGCATAGTAGGAGCTCTGGGGTTAGACTGGGTGTTTTGAGCTACTTTGAGCTACATCTATCAGCTCTGTGACCATCAGTTAGCCTCTCTGTGCCCAGCCTCTTCAGTGGGAAAATGCAGATAACAGCACAGACTTGTAAAGATTAAACGGGATAATACACATAAAGCATTAGAACAGGAACGTGAACAGTGTTCAGTGCTCAATGAATGTCAGCTGACATTCAAGGATCTCTAGAGTCAGTACAGACTTAAAAATGGACATGAAACCTTTAATCAACTATAAATGTACCTTTTGTTTATTTAGCTCTAATTAATTACCACTAACACTTTCTAAAATAAATACAGCTGACTCTGGATTATGGGTATTTTATTTTTTTTAGACATAGGGTCTCACTCTGTTACCAGGATACAGTGCAGTGGTATAATCATAGCTCACTCTAGCCTTGAACTCCTGGACTGAAGCAATCCTCCTGCCTCGGCCTCCCAAGTAGCTGGGATTTTAGGCCCAGATAATCTTTCTTATTTTTTTTTAGAGACAGGGTCTTGGCCGGGCGCGGTGGCTCACGCCTGTCTGTAATCCTAGCACTCTGGGAGGCCGAGGTGGGAGGATTGCTTGAGCTCAGGAGTTCGAGACCAGCCTGAGCAAGAGTGAGACCCTGTCTCTACTAAAAATAGAAAGAAATTAGCTGGACAACTAAAAATAGAAAAAATTAGGCAGGCATGGTGGCGCGTGCCTGTAGTCCCAGCTACTCAGGAGGCTGAGGCAAGAGGATCGCTTGAGCCCAGGAGTTTCAGGTTGCTGTGAGCTAGGCTGACGCCATGGCACTCTAGCCCGGGCCACAGAGTGAGACGCTGTCTCAAAAAAAATAAAAATAAAAAAATAACTAAAAAGAATAGAGACAGGGTCTTCTTGCTCTGTTGTCGAGGCTGGTATCAAACTCCTGACCTCTAGGAATCCTCCTACCTCGGCCTGTCAAATTGCGGGGATTACAGGTGTGAGCCCCACCCCTGGCATTGATAATGGGTTCTACAGCTAAGTCATAGTAATTAACTCAATTAATAGGTCTTAATTAATTGTGTTTCTAAGAAATTATGAGCCAAAATAGCAAGCAAATTGGGGGAGGGACAGAATAAGTAGATTCCATTTAGGTTGGTACCTTAAGTGTAAAAAGAGATGCCATCCACTAAATAAAACTGGGAGTAAGGATGGCATGGGTAAGGGAAATCTCAACTACTTTTCAGGTTAAAGACTTGTCTTTAAGGTGTGGTTTTATCTGTCATGATCTTCAGATAGCATTATATATCAATATTAAGTAGCAAATCACATTTTGAAATCCCCCCAAATTTTTATAGCTCTCTATGCCTTTGCTTCTTTCCATTAACAAGGATAATTTAGAGATAGACATAAGGCGGGTAAGTTGAGGATAAGTTAAAAGTGTTATTCAAATAGTGAGTAATGGACTTATGATATACATCACCTCAACAGGTGAAACTGATAGGACATACAGGATTGGGCTCAAAGAAGAATTTGGACTGATTTCCTAATGACAGGGATGTCAATGGCTTCTGAGGTGGTTAGAGTCAGGTTACTGGTTGGCACAGGTTTGACTCAGTAGAGCCAGCCCTACCTATCTCCTGTCTCCCTTACCCCCATTGAATCACTGCTGACAGTTTTTGTGAAATGGTTCCTATAAAAAGTATATTACAGAGATCAAGGGACATGAGACTCTAAATATAAAGGCTCTTCAGCAAAATTTTTATTACACAAAACCTGAAAGCAGGTAGAAAACCTACACCAGAGGAAAAGCAAGGCAATGGAGATGGCAGGGAAGTCAGAGCAAACCACAAGGCAGAAAGAAGAAACAAGCCTCCTGGTCCTTAGGTCCTTAGCCTCATTTTATTAGGTGCGATTAGGGAATGGCTGCTTCATAAGGAGTAGCCACCCAAGTGTGGCAGACAGGCAAGTGCCTCGGTCCTTCGTAGAGAACTCAAGCAGCCACCTCTTTTCTTCTCCCTTAGATTCGTTCACAAGCTTTTTCTCTTCCTTCCCCTGAACATGAGTGTTTTAAAAGAACACATAGTTTTCCTCCTAAAAATATGATGGACTAGATCTCCTCCCAAACTCGTCCACTATGAAAAGTCTAAAATGAATGCATAAAAGATAAATCTGATTATTAGATTATTAGAATTGAAACCTTGAAACCTCCCACATAAAACCAGACCTTCAAAGGGCTACCTATTAAGAGAAACAGTGAGTTACAAAAATAAATAAATAAATAAATAAAATCTTTCCACTGGTAAAAGGAGACAAAGAAATTTGTCAGTTTTAATGTGGGGTATAGGTAGAAAAAAGTCTCCCCTAAGAGGTTGTAATTTCAGGCCCACTCTCATATGGCTTTATGGGTTTATTTTAACTACCTGTGTGGCCTGGGAAACTCTAATCCAAGAAATTAATTTAAAATTCTGCTGGATAACCTAGCAGAAGCAAATGCATACATACCCCCTCTGGAGAGATGCAAATTCAGAGCAGATTTTCTAGTATTGCTCCAGGGAAAGCCCAGCTGAATATATGATCCAAAATTATAAAACAAATGAGGAAATAGACCACTACACGCATGCCTTAGTAGGAATAATAAACAACAGAATTACACCCATTAAAGATTTTACGTATAATGGAATTATTAGGTAAAAAATATAAAATAAGTCTACTTAAAATGCTTAAAGAAATAAACGGGGGAATAAAAAAATTGGTAAGGAATAAAATACCACCAAAAAATACTAGGCATATGTGAAATACCTACTATAACTTAAAGAAATATAATGTAGTTGAAACTAAAAACTCAACCACAGGGAAAAAAAAAGACATATTTGAAGAATCAGTGAACAGAAAATGGATGTGAATAAACATCCAGAATGTGCGAGTCTCTCTGAACCTATTCTGGTTCGGGTAACTGCCCTGTGGAAAAAAAAACAAACGAACAAAAACTAGTAACACACACACACACACACACACACACACACACACACACACACACACACTCACACACCCAGAAAGATGAAAAATATGAACAAAGGCTAGGCATAGTGGCTCATGCCTGTAATCCTAGGACTCTGGGAGGCCGAGGTGGGAGGATCACCTGAGCTGAGGAGTTCAAGATCAACCTGAGCAAGAGTGAGACCCCATCTCTTCTAAAAATAGAAAAATAGCCAGGTGTTGTGGCATGCACTACAGCCACAGCACTCTGGCCCAGGCAACAGAGTGAGATTCTGTCTCAAAAACAAAAAAAGAAAAGAAAAATATGAACAAGAAACTAAGAGACATTAAGGAAAGAGTGAGCAGCTCTAACTTGTCTAATCAGAATTCTAGAAGAAAAAAATAGAAGTGTAGAAGGGCAATATTCAAAAAGGATGACAGACAAGAATTTCTGAAGAACTAATGAAAGATATCAATCCTCAGATTCAGGAAGCCCTACAAGTCTCCAATAGGAGACTTTGCTTACAAAAGAAATCCCCATCTAGATATACAATAGTGAAGCTTCAGGACAACAAAAACAATGAGAAGATCTGCAAAACAGCCACAGAGAAAGAGGAACTAAGTAAAAAGGAACCATGATTTCTCAACAGCAACAAAGAGAAGTCAGAAACAGTGAGATAATAGCTACAAGTGCGGGAGAACCTAGTATCATATTCTTGGCTAAATGAAGATTTAAAAAGAGAGTGAAATAAAGACTTGTTCAGATAAACAAAAACAGAGTTTACTTCAATAAATGCTCACAAGAGGAATTTGGCTCAGGAAGAAGAAAAATGGTCCTAGACGTAAGCTCTGACGTGGCGGATGGAATGATTAACAATGAAATGACAACTGTGGATGAATATAAACAAATACTGCATAAAACAATACTAATAACGTCTAATTTGGTGGTAAAAAAAGTGAAATACTACATAATATAAGAAGAAAGGAAGATGGTTTGAACAATTATTCTAAGTTTCATATACTATACAGGGAAAAGATGGAGATATTAATTTTAGACTTTGTTACATTAGGTATGTAAGTCAAAATTTTAAGGGTGAAAAAGATAAAATCGCATCTGTTCCTCATACCGTACCCTGGGAAATATTCCAAAGAGCTCAAAGATCTAATTATAAAAAAACGAAGTCAAGTACAAGAGGAAAAATAGGCGAAAATGATGTATGCACAAAGCTTTTCATTGCAGGATTATTTTAAATAGCAAAAGACTGAAAAAAACACAAATATCTGTCAATAGAAGTACCATGTAACTGTATAAAGGAATGAAGAATTCTCAAATAAACTGCTATGGCATGAACACCAAGCTATGTTGTTAAGTGAAAAAAAGCAAGGTTCAGAACCAATTGTTTGTATTATGTTATCTTCTGAGTAAAGAACGTGTGAAGAATATATATTTCCTTACATTTTAAAAAAATAAATAATGAAAAGATAAATTTAAAAACTGATAAAAATGGTTACCTTAGGGGGAAGTATAGAAGGCAGAATAATGGTACCCCAAAGAAATCTACACCCTAAGCCCTAGACCCTAGGAATATGTTACCGTGCATGGCAAGGGGGGGGACTTCTGAGGATATTATTAAGGTTCAGGACCTTGAAATGGGAGATTATTCTAGATTATTTGGATGGGCCCAATCTAATCACATGAGGCCTTGAAAGTAGAGAATCTTTCCTGGCAGTGGTCAGAGAGGAAGATCTGAGGGCTGAGAGGGGTACAACGTTGCTGACTTAGAAGGTAGAGGTAAGGGGC